ATTTATCTACTGGGTTTTATGTTGCCACTAACTCACTAATGCTGGCATCTGCCGACGTTTTGAAAATGGATTTTTAAGTTATCAGTAATCGTTTCGTAACGCGGTTTTTTTCCGGGTCGATAACTTAAGCATCGGTATTGTACAATCAAGAACTAGCAACGGCGGACCCGTTTATTTGAGTGACTCGTGTGTTTCTAAGGCTATTTTCCCAGTTGTGCAATTTTACACTGCTTTATGACCTCTCTTTATATCATCCGTGCTAGCAATTTTAAAACGCTGAAAAGGCACCCAGGTGAGTACATCAAGCTAATATTAAATAAACTTGGCATGACTCGAATAATATTAAATCATGTCGCAATAAGCAAACTGCATTTATTTCCCTTGGGGAAATCAATGTGAAACTACAACTAAGCTGTTTACACGAAACTGTGGTCTTATATCGACGTGATGTTACGTGGCCTTACGTGCAACCGAAGAAAGTAGCAATTATTGTCTGCGTATGTGCATTCTAGGTTGATATTATATCCTCAAGGCTTATACTTTCACTACGATTGCTGAAGAGTTGTCTAGCGTTTTTCTAATTAATGGGTAGCCGTGATTCGACTTGACCCATACCAATATGTGCCACACAGAATGTTTTGCGCCTTTTATTCGCACTGTTACAACGCATACCAATACAAGTGACTTAAATCTGCCTCACACGACATAAACAGTTTACTTGAAAGCCATAATTGTTACACTGAAATAAGTGGAGGCGATGCACTATAGGTATCATGATTATGACTTTACAAATACAAAAGGAGCCTCGACTGTTATAAACTGGGGCTCGCTTTGGACCTTGAGCAGCGACACACTTTAAGTAATTGGAAAAATCATTATAAACACTGTTGCGCATAGTAACTTTGCATAGCAGAATACAGACAATTATGCTACACCGCACACAGCGGATATGCAGAGTTGAATGTCGTTTCATGTGCAATCAACATATGTATTGCACGATATGTGAACTTAAAGCGATAGGACAGCGAGAAACTGTGAATAGCAGGTTAGCGCTTGTAGAAATTAGTAAAAGAATAATTATTTTTGACGCCAGTATCATGTAGACTTTCATGACCGGTTATTGTACGCGATGAAACCGACAGACACGATATTTGGAGGAGGATGTTTAGGTCTTATCATCAGTGCTTCATCGTAGGTCTAACATGTGTCCCCATGCCTGGATATTGCAGAGTGGTAAAGTCCAACTTTTGTACCTAGCCTAGTAGGATTTCATTACATATTTAAGCTACTACTACAAACCCGGCCATGGTCTAGTGTAGCTTGAATTATCTGTTCATGTATGTACACAGTAAAGGTAGAGTGAACAATGAGCCATTTTGTTGCTGAAATCCTTTACACTTTGCTGTAATTTTAGTTCAGTACTAATCAGCATGAATACTGCCATTGGGCTGGCGGGACGGCGGCACCCCTAATAGCATCTTTGTACACAGTGGTTTATAGCATTATACAAGCGTTTCTGCTATTTTTTCAGCCGAAAATGTTGTTGTAGGGAATGCAGGATAATAACTCACCACCTTGCTATTTGGCACAATCAGTATGGAACACATGGAGGATAATTCGTCCACCGCCAGCTA